CACACACACACACACACACAAAAGACCAAAAAATGGAAAGGAAACGATTAAAATTGCACCACATGGCATAGCCACGTTATACGATCTCGAGCCTTAGCTTTTCCCTGCCCCTTCCTCCTAACCCTCTCCCCTTCCCCCTCCCACTCCCCCTCTCTCTCGCACACAAAAAGAAGAAAAGCAAAAAAAAAGAAAACGAAAAAGACGATCGAGCCACACAAACAAAAGAGAAAAGAAAAACAAGAAAATGGACATGATGATCGAGCCACGTGGCGCAGCTTGTGTTTCTTTACCGACTCCCTTCTGATGCATGCTCGTAAACAAGATGAGCAATGCAAAGGAGCAAAAGGACCAGTGAGGTGATGATAAAGGCTCAGACATACACAATGAGATCAATGACACACATGACATCAACGAGACACCGTGTATCCATACAATCATAAGATGATACAATGTAGCACAGCCGAAGACTCAAACATGCGACCTGACTCAATGGACACACCCGACTCATACCATCATCCTCACACGTGTGAGAGAGAAGGGAGGGACCGCATACATAGAAGAAAAGGCCCCTTCTTGAGCACAGACATGGAAGGTATACCACAGATCATGGGAGAGAAAGGAGTGAGACGAAGATGGAGGCGAGGGAGTAGACCAGAGTCGAATATACAGCTGTCCAAACTAGACTCCCTGTCAAGAGTCCAACCAATGTCTGCCCCAAGAATATCGAATCAGATCCTGGGCGCCATAGCCCGTAGTAGCTCTGCCTGTAACCTCTCTCTCTCTCTCTCTCTCTCTCTCTCTCTCTCTCTCTCTCTCTCTCTCTCTCTCTCTCTCTCTCTCAAGAAGAAGAGGAAGAAGAAGAAGAAGAACAGTGACTATGGAGGTTGGAGGCAGGAAGGAGAAGAAGAAGAAGAGAAGTCTCCTCTGTCTCTCCCTCACCTGCTGCTGCTGAAGTCCTGTGACACTGACTGGCGTTTTACACAACTCCACAAAAAAAGGCTAGACTATGCCAGACTGAACCAAGCACCAATTCCAAAATGCACGTAGCACCGATGCACTTAGCACGAAGCACCGATTACACGAACCAACCACTGATGCACATAGCACCGAAACCAAACCAAGCATGAACCAAGCACGAAGTAGCAGGAAGTAGCACGAATGCACCAAATAGCACGAAAGTGGCACCGACACACAAACCAAACACAACCAAACACAAAGTACTGAGAACGAAGTACCCAGCACCGCGCGCGCACGAGAGAGAGAGAGAGCGAGAGAGAGAGAGAGGGAGAGGGAGAGAGAAAGCCACAGAGAGAGAGAGAGAGAGCTACCGTAGGGGCCTCTCTCCACTACTCTCGACATGCACAAAAGACAAAAATCACGGTGGTGTATCTTTCCATGTTGTAGCGGAAGATTAACTCTCGTTTTGCACATGTTGAGAGTTGTGAAGTGAGGACCTAGGTCGCATAGGCAAGTCGGTAGATCGCGTAGACGTGTAGGTCGTGTGGTGCTACAGCTGGTAGCCCAAGCTAGACGACCAAAGAAGAGCAGTAAGACGAACTGCCCAAGCCTCGCTCCACTACTCACGACATGCACAGAGGACAAAAAATATTGTGGAGCATCTGCCCATGTTCTAAGGGAAGATTCGTTTTCATTTTGCACATTTCGTGAGCAATGAAGCCGGGCCCATATACCCGGCCGCCCACAGAAAACCTAGCAGCACGTTCCTCAACGACATAAAACAGGCGGCCGTTACCCGCGGGGCGTTGGACAACCAAAAAAAAAAAAAAAAGCAGCGCAAAAACAACAGGAAAAAGAAGAAAAACGGGGAATTCGACAGCAGGGCAGTAACACCCAAAACGTGCCTCCATAATGAACGGCCTGGATTGCAGGCCGATAACTCGAACGGGCGGCCCAGATCACCAGCATACCAGTAAGATTTCTGATCGGCCGCCGATCTGGGCCTCCCGTTCAAGTGATCGGCCTGGAATCCAGGCCATACCTTATGATGAATAGTGGTTTCTTTAGTACTGTAGTCGTGCCGCCTGTAGTTGCCCTTTTTCAGTCGCATTCCCAGGCAAGCCGTTGATAGAGGCCAAAAAAATTGCTGCTTATCGGACCGCCAATCTCACAAATGGGCACTGTCTGGTCCCGGCCATAGCCACTTTAATAGAATGTAGTAGATGTAGTAGATGTAGTAGATGTAGTAGATGTAGTAGATGTAGTAGACGTAGTAGAAGAGCAAGACATGGTTAGTGACCTGGATGACTTGAGTTCCTTGATAAATTGGAAGTTAGGCGTTCGCAACTTCACAATTCAAAAAAGAAGTCGAGAGTATACCTCAAATGTTCGAACGAGCTCCTTATCATTCTGGAGTGACGCCCGCGCTTCTGCCGCTTCCTGTGAGATTGACAACATTCCCTCCACATCCTGCAAGTCCACTTCAGCAACGTCATCAATATACCCAGATTATGCCAGCAACCATATGCACTATTATGCAGGTAATGTGTCAGAAGGGGAGGAAAGAGGCTGTCTCTTATACACATCTAGATGTGTATAAGAGACAGGAGTTACAGTGAGTTACAGTGAGTTACAG